AGGCAGTGTTCAGCTCATGTGGCCATTTTCTGGCAGACCAACATGGACTGGTCAACGCTGCCCATCATGCTTCTCTTGGTGGAACGTACAGAGGTATGCAAAAAGGGCTGGTTCACTTAAACACCCTAATAATCGTTATGCTAGACAGTTTTAGAATCATATTATATAGCACCAAGACGACCCTCTGATCCAGGATACATATTGTATATACTTTCATTAATGTGGCTCTTGACACATGTGTGTCATGCACTAACTTCGGGATTTCAGAATGACCAGGAGTTTATTTCTATTTGTTTCAAATTAGGTATGTTACTAACATCTGTTAAAGAAATGGTTCTCGGTGATGGCAGTATTGATAAACTCGTGTCATTGTGTAACTATTTTCATGCCTCTGGAGGTTTCATTCAAACGAAAAACTCTCAGACGTCCTCAATAGTCTTTTCATAGCAATACTTATTAAGTTACCAATCCTGTCTTCTTGATTTTGTTTTTGTCATAAAAGTAGGAGTTATTGTGCAGTTAATTGTGTTACTCGGCCTTCATTAAAATAATGTGCTTTGTTCTTGGGCTTAGATTCTAAACCTGCTGGGATGCACTATGAGATGCACAGTACTTTGTTGTTTTTTTGTTCATATGTTGGGTGAATTCAAAAACATATAGTACAGTATTCTCAGGAACAGCAACCATCAGAAAGTTGAAACTGCACATGACTCTATGCTGGTATGATGAGTTGCTTTTGTAATAATTGTCTGGATAGACCCTCGCACTGTCAATGTAGATCACTATTGTCCAAACCCTCAGATCAGTTACACTGCGTTAATATTGCTAAGATCATTTGAATCACTACTCATTGACACGCATGTATCACCATGCATTACTTTCTATTCAGGTGTTGACCACATGGGACTCATCTGGAGTATGAAACCTGTTCCAGGGATTTCAAAGGATCCGCTTCTCAGAAAGCGAGATGTGACGACACCTCTTGTATTGAAGCTGTCTGTGATAGATGACCACGTTCCCTTTGATGACCTTCACATGGCCACGACAGTGGTGCTGGCAACAGACGAGTTAGAACGCTGGTACACACAATACTGTGAGGAGGATTGTCGTCCGTGAAGGTTCCATGAAAGGAACTCTTTTCTTGCCTGCAGGTAAGGCCTAAGCTATGCTTAATTCTACGTATTGTTTGTTGTTCAACGCCGCGCTCAGCAATATTTAGCTGTATGGCGGCAGTTTGTAAATAATTTAGTCTGGACCAGACTATCCAGTGATCAACAGCCTGAACATCAATCTACGCAATTGGGATACTATATGTGTCAACCAAGTCAGCGAGCCTGACCATCCGATCCCGTTAGTCGCCTCTTACACCAAGCATGGGTTCCCGAAGACCAATTCTATATAACACTCTTTTATATCTAATATGAAATATATTGTGTCACTGAGAACATTCCTATATCAAAAATGATTAACCGTTTGAATGACAGTTTTTGAATTAGTACATATATATTATTAAATGCATGCATACAGTTTAATTATAATATAGGTTTACTACAAAGTATGTATTCGCCCGTTCTCACTAATGAGGTGCAAATGGGTAAGCGTCGTAAGTCAAAAATCAACGACACAAAATCTATGCAAAAACATTTTATTTAGACAGTTTGGTATATGGTCTATTATATATCACCTTTTCAGCCACACCATTTTACAAATAACCACACAGCTGTTATCTAAATGTGGCACCTTGAATTATAAAATATTATCACCTGATACGTACGTGACTAGTTTTTCTGACTAGAGAATTAAGTGATAATGTGATAAATTATTTGAGTAACCTATCAAATATTCCGCATGAATTTGGCGATTTAGTAACACACATGTCTGCTCAAAGACTTTAGAAGTACTTTGACATACACATTGTAAATCATTATTACTCAGATTGTTTTTTCAAAAATACCAACAAATTGCAAAAACATTCTAAAATCAAACCTAGCCGACAATCTGAGGGCGTAGTAGACCAAAAAATGAGTAGCAAAATATTTGATCGACAGCCAGTTGCAACAACATAAAACTCATGAAAATTACCAGTCATCTTTTGCAGTACAAACAGTAACGTATGTAGCCCAACTTTCAATTGTTTCAAATGAGATTTTTTTTATTATGAAGAATAATCCTTTTTCCTACCTAAAACATCGATTAAAACACATCAGCATCGTTTTCTTCAGGATTACAAGATTCTATCGTTTCTTCCTTTACAGTTTTTAGTACTACGTAAAGACAATATCAGGGTGATCAATATTAATCATCATAAATTTGGCAAAAGGAACATAACAAGACTGTATCCTCGATCGTTCCTTCTCAAGGAAGGCGGGTCCTTTTGCTTTCCGAATTTACCGATATTCTGTCTGAATTTCTGCTCTACGTTTTCCCACTTGAAATAAGAAACAAATGAGTAACGTATGTATAATACATTTCGATACATACGTTACCCTTATAATTATGCTCTTTCACATAACAAAGACCCAGGACTAATCCAAATGTTATCACAAATATATAAACTCTGTCTGATAAGCTACTAAAGTACCTTTCATTTGTACATCAATCCTTCCATCCCATTAAACAATCAAATATTCATATCAATATTCATATCATTCAGAGAGGTGACCATCTCTTTCCCAACACATAGCTCATTATGTGAAAATAAAAGGACATTAAAAAACACTGATTGCCAGTTTAAGTCTGAATGTTTTTTAAAAAAACAAAGTTTCTGGCTTCAAATGATATGACATTTACGTTTGAAACCTTCAACAAATGTTGTTACCTACGTTACCGTTGATAACGTATGTATCATTTACTTTAGCATGCCTTGATCGAAAACTGGACCTCCAAATGATGCCCTTAGCATCGCTTTCCTGTCTGTTATGATGGTAGTTAAAATACACAATGACAATTTGAAAGAATTACACTTTGTAACATGTTTAACATGACGTCTTTAATTATGCATGGTATCACCTGAATTTTAAACAACATTACCTCATAAAACTGATGTGGTTTCTCTCTCAAAATGTGTCTGCTGTTCGATGACTGTCGCCACATGAAGTAGGTATAGCCAAAACCTAATCATATTGTTTCGAACACTTAATTCCGTACTTTCTAGTAACGTATGTAACGGTTACGTATGTATATTTTCAGTGGTTTTCATTTTCATTTTTGCAAATCTATACACACTACTGATCGTGATATGAGCTGTTTACATGGTATAATGTTTTGCGTGAAGTGTTATAGAAATTGAAGTAATTATTGGCATGATAACGTATGTATTGCTTGATTTCTACGCATCTTGTTTGTGGTGTTGAAAAGTATTGTTTCCAATACTGAACTATACTCATAGTTAAAACCTGTCGTAATTGAATTGGTAAATGTTTTGAGTATAAATAATTGATACTGTACTTCACTTAAGCCAAAAAGGTACGCTGCTACACTGTCATCCAGAAAAACACAACGTATGTATCCAAAGTTTGGCGACAACATCTCAACACTCTGTAACTATTCCGATTTGGATGGTTTGCCTTCTTATTCTCATTTGAATACAGCGTAATAAGTACATTGTTCTTTAAATATTCAATCTGAAACCCAAACTGCAAAATCAAAATGACAGCATTAACTTAAGTGAATCGTCTCCAACATGGCGACAGTAACGTACGCATCGTTTTGCCTACTTTGACTTTTCCTGCATTGCCAATATAAGGACAGATGACCCGAAACAGTGTTTATTGGCTAGGGCGAGTATAAGACTTTGGGAATAATGCAAATACTGGGCACAATATTTGTTGGATTAGGAACAAATGGCTGGCGACATCAATTGCACCTCATTAGTGAGAATGGGTGATTACTAACCACAGATTGTTTACAGGTAAAAGCGAATTTCCTGGAGTGCTCGACATGTTTGGGGTAACGGGAGGTGTGGCTGAGTTCCGTGCTGCCTTGTTGTTGGCTTGCCTACTTTAGATATGATGACCTGCCGACTTCAATAGCTGACATTGATTTTGATTACTTTCTGGTAAGTTATTTCACCCTGAACATGCTTAGACTGCAGGTCCCTAGTATGGTGATCTACCTATAGCCCGTGTTTTATATTGTATTGTCTTCTTTAATTATAATGTTTTAGTTTTACATGCTAGTTTTATATTCATATCTGTAATACTCTAGTATTTTTACTGTCCATCGTTGACATGTTTTACTCTTCAAAATGTTTTCATGTTTTATTGTATAAATTGTTTTCGTCACGAAATGGCTGAAATATTGTCGATGTGACGTTAAATATTAACTCAGGGATACTGCAGGGATGCTACTTTGAAAGTTAATCGTATCCTCATTCTTTACATATTCTGTACAAGTACGACAACAAAAACATTCAAAATTGCTCATTTTTCAAATCGTATGGTTCCATATTTTGTGCTTATAATCTCATCCCATCTATCAAAATAGGCCTCCGGAAAGGCAATCCCATATTACCGATCACCTAAGTACTTAGCATTTGATATGAAAATAGCACACATATCTCTTGCATGTGGAGTCAACGTTATGTATATAAAAAGTCAAACTGTATTTTCTAAAACAAAGTAATGTTGGCAGTACAAGGTGCCCTAAGAAAACAAAAAGGGTATATTAAGGCATCACTGTGGCTGAAGATATCTAGATGAAGTATCAATGATGTTGGGTTTTTTGTGCAGGATGCTGTGAACTGGCTTGCTTCTCATCCCAATGTCCAGCCCGGGGGTATTGGCGTGGTTGGTCACTGCAAAGGAGGTGAACTGGCCTTCCTGCTTGGCATGTCAACTGATACGGTGAGAGGGATTTAACACTGGCACTTTTCAACTATCAATTATTGAGTTTGAGATGTAAAATATACGAAGTACGATTTCTCTGTTTCAGTTTTCCGAACTATCACAGAGGCTAGGACAAACAAAGTAAACATGCCCTAATTTTCATCAACAGGTGAAGGTGTTGGTGAATATTAATGGTATGCCAGTGTATACACTTGCCGATTTAAAAAAGTCTGGACATGTGTTATGGAAAGGGTTCAAGTAAGTATGTACGTGTCTTGTTTGTACCGTATTTTACGTTGTTATGGTTGATCACTTGAAATGGAAATTAGCAATAATAAAGTTAATTCAGTAGTACGTACATGCAGTACATGTTTTGAATTGGTTATGGTATAGCATTAACATTTTGTGGGAGTAAAAACGTATATAAGTGAAAATTTACATCATATTGCTATGTTCGCCTCTCAGACATACATTTTCATGTAGTCAAATCACGTTCTCCACGAAAAAGATGGACAGATATATAAAATATCGTAGTATCTATGATATATCACACAAAAGATTCACTTAACAAGCGTAGTATCTATGATATTATATCACAATGAAATACTTTGAGGTTCGTTCAGTTACTTATTAACATATCGCTATACCCTACAAAACCAAATCACCAAACCCAAATCACTAAAAGAGACCATCAATTGAGTCAAATAAGAATGAACAGCAAAAAAGCTAAAAGAAGCCCTTTGCCATTTTCAAAACGGTTCCTGTCTTTTTCATAAATTTTAAGAATGAACATCTTCTATTAAAAAGCTGTAAAATTTCTTATTGTGATTATTGAATTATAATCAAAATTTGTTCGGATCATAAATATGTTTAACCATCCTTAATTATTTGACACAACAGGTGTAAACTGGCATGATTTATGTGATCTTATTTCCTTTACAGGTTGGATGAAAGTAAAATGATACATAGGAATGAAGGCGTTTCTCTGACAAACAGTTTATGCTATGACAATGAAATCATTCCGGTCAGTAGCGATCTTTGCATGTCTTTATCTGTTTAACGACATCCTTGCATTATTAATTTCACTTAAGTTGTCGTGCATATTCCGGAGAAACAAGTCACCTGCGACGAGTTTATCATTTATCATTGGATATTATCTGACAAGTTGTTTTTGTTAATATCTATTGATTGACCATTTTAACCAGTCAACTAATAGCAGTTACATTTATCACAACCTTTGATCCTTCTAAGGGAGCGGTGGGGTAGCCTAGTGGTTAAAGCGTTGGCTCGTCACGCCGAAGACCCGGGTTCGATTCCCCACATGGGCCCAATGTGTTAAGCCCATTTCTGGTGTCCCCCGCCGTGATATTGCTGGAATATTGCTCAAAAGCGGCGTAAAACTAAACTCAGTCAGTCAGTCTATTCTAAGATTGTTCACATATACTATTAAAAACGTCGATTTTCAATAAAAAAGGTGTCATTTCTAAACCCCAATACAGTCATTGAACTTGATTCCTATCTGTACTGTGAAATTAGATACTGCTGCAGCTTGGTTATATGCTGACATCTTTTCAGGCCTGGACTAATAATGCCAAGATCTTGTACTTGTGTGGCGAAGATGACGAAGTATGGAGAACTGACTTTGCTAATACATTTATTGAGACATGTCCTGAAGAGAAGAAGAAGAACATTGAACTCATCATCTATCCAGAAGCAGGACATGCGATCGAACCTCCATATACGCCGTTGTTTACATCAATGGTCAGTAAAACCCTTGGTGAGTACTTGCATCACGACATGTCAACATATTAGGTACACATATGTATGGATGATGCATATAGTGTAATGAAGTCCCATACAGAACATACAGGTCACTCAGAACAACCTTGCAGTGAGTGAGTAATAATAATAATGATAAGTGCATTTATCACGCGCTAAACTCCATTCACTAGGTGAATGCTAAGAGAGCTAACAAAAGTTCACTGGTATTTACAAAGTTTGTAATGGGCGCAAGATTAGGCTGTACAATTTGTCAAACAGGTAGATCTTTAAAGTCCTTTAAAAGGGCAGAGATTTTGAATTCTTTTTCAAGGCACTTCTGGCAGTTCATTCCACAATGCTGCTGCATTGAAGGAAAACGATATTTTCCAAAACCATCTAAGCTTTGGTTTTGGAACACTGAGGCGACACAGATCTGCAGATCAGAAATTGTCGTGGTGGTTCACAGTGCTTTGTGACTTCTGACAAACAGGCAGGAGCACAAAGGTGATAGCATTGATAAGCTGAGGACAGTATCTCTTTTCAATTCTGGCTTCAACAGGAAGCCAGTGAAGCTGGATTAGAGTTCGAGTTATGTGGGATGATTTCTTGCACATCATCACAATCCTGGCTGCTGTGTTTTCAACACGTTGCAACCTCTGGAGCTGTGTATTTCGTATCGTTTGATATGTTGGCCAGGAGACTGTTGCAGTAATCCAGTCGCAATAACATCAAAGAACATGCCGCATTTGTGGGAAGAAGGTGTCCGATAGCTCAGATGTTTCGTAGCTGGTAGTGACAGGACCTGATTGTTTGACTGATGCTAGCTTCCAAGGAGAGTTCACGGTCAAATAGGACACCAAGGTTCTTGACTTTGTCTGAAAACTGAATGTCAGACTTCCCCACATGTATGTGAGCTTCCTTCACTTTCACTAGTACCCACTAGTAAAGCTTCTGTCTTGCTGTCATTCAGCTTGAGCATATTTGAGTTCATCCATTGCTTTATGGCACCCGTGAAGAGCCACCTCCTCGTAGTGGGTGCTGGGTAGCGCTAAGAGCTCTTCAACCCCCCGTGTTGACCAGGGGGCATATTTGGTCCACAGCACCCCATTGCTGGTCGTATGGCCGAATTGGGCAACCCGTTTACCGTCGGTTGCACCCCTGTGTCGGTGGAGGACGGGAGTCTGGTGGTTGAGGGCACTGGTTCCAGGAACAGCGTTTCTTTGCCCAACACACCACTTCGCCCCTTACTTCACCTAGACGGGTGGTAGAACTGGCCCGGTTCTATCAATCGGCTGGTCACGCCATGCCCTGTGCATAGCACTACTTTTGCACATCTAACTTATTGGGTATTGGTTATTTTGATTATAAATTTCAATATACAAATTACATTAAATTGCCTAGAGTCCTATGCCAGAAGGCGGTGACTCATGGGCCAATCTGGTGATAACAGATCTCTGAAATCTGTGATTCTTGGGAATGATGTCATGGGCCGAAACAGCCTGGCATATATTCTTTTAGTTTTTCATAGCTTTTCATATCTTTATCGCTGGAGTACAACACCCCTGTATCCCTGGTGTCAGCATCTTGGAGATCCGGTGCTATTTGACACTGTCCTTGTTGACAGTCCATGGTGGGTGGGGAGCAATGACATTATTACATGCTGGTTCCCGCAATGAAAAGAAAACATGATTAGAAGATCTAGATCTATCAAACAGAAGTACTTCTTCAAACAATGATTCTTGGCCTCGATTTCTGGTGGTCGAAGCTGCTGATTTTTTGCCTAAAAAGTTAAATCCGTTTGCCATCTCCAAGGCTGTATCTGGAATTTGTGGTGAGGTAAACAACGTTACTCGTCTCCGTAGTGGTTCACTTATTGTAGAATCACTAAATTTGCTATCGATCAAAACAATTGCAAATGTTGAGGTTGCCGTGTCTGTGCAGAGGACACTAAATTCTTGTCTTGGCATTGTTCGAGAGAGGGCTCGGTGCCTGTCCGACATGTCTGAGGAGGATATCGCTACTGAGTTGAAAGAACAGGCTGTGACCTCAGTTAAACTCTTTACAATCAAGAAAGATGGTGTTATCTCAAATACAAACACCTATCTAATGACATTTCCTCGTTCATCCGTTCCTGAATCAATGAAGGCAGGATATTTCAATATCTGAATATTGAATATTTTGCAAAATCTAGTTTAGAATATTTGACTGAAGTAAGTGGCTACATTTACACTAGTGAGTCTAAACTTTTGATGGGTAGTACATATGATCAAGTCCCCAAACCATGTATTATCATGGGCGATCTGACCGGAGACAACCCGCTTTGGGGAAGTGTCCATACTAATAATAAAGGTAAAATTCTTGAGGAAATTATTTCTAACAATATGTTTATTTAATGATGACACATGCACCTATCTCCACCCAGCTACGGGGGCATATTCTCCCCTAGATCTGACACTAACCGATTCCTCCTTATATAATGAATATGAATAAGTGATGATCACTTCCCCACCATTCTCTAAAGCGTCAACCCTGGTGATGATCCACCTTTATCTCAACGGAACTTCGCCAGGGTTAATTGGTCATTACGTAAGACACTATGTACTGATCACTTAAAATATGACATTTTTGCGAACAGCGAAGATCCCATTCAGTTATTTTGAGATATACTGAACAACATTGTTGACCAAAGTATACCAAAGTCCTCTACAATTCCACACATTCGTAAGCCATGGTTCACGAATGTAAACAGGCCAGAAAGTGTAGGAAGAAAGCTGAAAAGTATTTTCGACGACATCCTACCGTACATAATCTAGACAAAGTTAAAATTTTAAATGCCAAGGCCAGACGTGCTTTTAAACAAAATAAGCGTCACGGTCAGTCTTGCCGAAATTATGTTTCTGAAATATTTTCATGTACACCTATGTCAAAGGTGTGGAACATGATCCAAAGAATACTGACTGACTGACTGAGTTTAGTTTTACGCCGCTTTTAGCAATATTCCAGCAACATCACGGCGGGGGACACCAGAAATGGGCTTCACACATTGTGCCCATGTGGGGATTCGAACCCGGGTCTTCGGCGTGACGAGCCAACGCTTTAACCATTAGGCTACCCCACCGTCCCCTCCAAAGAATAAAGAGCAAAGGTTCCATATCTATTGTTCATCATCTGACCGACTGACTGACTGACTGAGTTTAGTTTTACGCCGCTTTTAGCAATATAGGCCACCCCACCGCCCCCATTCATCATCTGAAGGACGGTGATAATTTATTAACTAACATAATGGACTTGGTGAAGCTCTCGCCAAGCATTCATCTACCTCCGACTTCCATTTTTTGTGGAAACCGCGGTGGCTGAGCGGTCTAAGCGTCTGACCTTGTGTGCTGGCGATTAGGTGCCTGACTCTGAGGGTGTGGGTTCGAATCCAGGATGGGACTCAACCCAAAAAGTACTAGAATCTGTACTTTACTGAGAAAGTGTAATCCAAATATAACATATGTTACAAAAAAATAGGTGTTCAACAAATTTGCCTGCTCCTTGTCATCATTGATCTGTATCCGGAAGAAATGTTTCCACTTTCTTACAGAGCATACAGATCACTGGCATCATTTATACACTCATTTATCTTGGAATGACAGTAGTCAGACTGAGTGAGTGAGGAAAAAATATAAAGTCGTATCGGCATGTTTAAGCATACGAAACTAAAAACCTGTTATTAATAATGATTACATATATTCCTTGTAATCAAAGGATTGTAAAATAACTAGAATTTTACATGAAATTAGTACAAAACGTTATAAGAAGAAGCTGTACATCACCAGCAACTACAGTAGAACTTTCTGTACTTCGTCTATCTTGGTCTAACTGGTCATGTGTAAATCTGGTATGGCTAATGTTATATCGACGTAAAATGATTTATTCAAATCGGGACCGACAGTTGATTTCATGCTGTGATAGGATGATTAACTATGTGCATCTATTTGTGGAAAAGAGACACACTATATTGATGTAAACAATTTGTGACTATTATCACTCGACTCTGTGAAGATTTGGGTTAGAGTCAATCTTCAGCAAACCATGCTTGTCGTGAAGGGCGACTAATGGGGTCGGGTGGGCAGGTTCATTGACTTGACTGACACATGTCATCGTATCCCAATCGATGTTCATGATGTCAGCCACTGGTTTATTGGTACAAGACTTGATTATTTACAGAACACCGTCATTGTCCTGTTTTAGTTATGAGTGCAGCATCAAGCAACAAAAAACCCGATGAAATAAACAAACTACTATCCCACTCGCAAAAATGCACAATCCTTAAGTTTTCTTTCTGCTCTTGTTGAGGCAGTTATTCAGAATTAAAGTCACATTTATTACCTGTGTATATATTTGATATTTTAATAGATGGCATTTTCTTCAAAAACTAACTTGTACGGTAATTGACAACAGGCATAACGCTGGCGATGGGAGGACAGACTGAAGCTCATGCTGCAGCCCAAGAGGATGCTTGGAAAAGAATCCTCCACTTCCTCCACAAGCATCTGCCACAGAAGCATCACCAGTCCAGTAGAATATAGCTAAAAGACACTGTTCCATTGTCTGAAGCGCATTACAAAAGATGTCAACGTTCTTTCTCTTGTTTGTCTGGTCATGATGTATAAATCAAACAAACTCCCAATGATATTCTCCTCTTCGAGTGCAAGCTTAACACTAAACACATATACTACTGTCATCAGGGATGGTCAGATGGGAAAAAGGAGAACATCCGAAATCCTCATGGGATATTTTTGATATAATCATTACCATGTAAATGAATTAAACAGCTAACTCAAATACATGTGTTTGTTTCTGTCGGTATTGTGGTAAGTATTGGGTTATTAATAGTTTTGCGGGAAGTATTGGGGTTCTATAAGAAACCCATTAGAATTGGTCTTCAGCAACCCATGCTTGTCGAAAGAGGCGATTAACGGGATCAGGTGGTACGGCTCGCTGACTTGGTTGACACATGTCATCGTATCCCAATTGCGTAAATTGATGCTCATGCTGTTGTCTGTTGATCACTGGATTGTCTCACCCGTACTGCTACAAAATAGTGCGTCGTTCAACAACCATCAAGCAAACTAGTACTAGGATTCGTCACAGCATTGTCTCTAACTACTGGGACATGTCACCTGTTTGCAGGTACCTACTACGTTTCTTCATCAGATTACCGGTAACTATTGGGGTTCTTTACGGCGTATAGGATTAAGGATTCCTGACATTATTGTCACAGGTAAAAATTAGGTTTCTTATCAGTACTGTCAACGCGTGGTTTACAGGTCAACTGGGGAATTAGCTCATAATTAAGATGAAGAGTGCGTTGATGAAGACGAAGGCATAGTTGAGTTCAAACTTCTTTAGTTACATGACAACCAAATACACAAGACATACATAAACAGCGGAGTACCTGCTCAACCACAGGGCGTTTCCTACGAGCGGCATTATCCTGCTCGTGGTCGTCCGAACGGACAGTCCAACTACCGAACTCGTACTCCTTCACTCTCCTCATTCACTGTCTACATGTGAGCATACCTAGTATATATATATATATACAGTTTTTGATAACAATGGTCAGGCGACGACTCATCAATGGACAGACAGAAAAACAATAGTACTTCCTTGACCAGTTGATGTGATGGCAGACACGGCCAAGGGGGATTACCAATGGAGGTTATAAATGTCTTATACAACAATTAATGGGCTGTCAAGTCAATTTAAAATGCGGTAGTGATAAGGATGTACAGTAGTGATTAAAAATACAGCTTAGCGTCACATATATATATATATATTACAATAAGGTCTCACATGTCTTGAGTACATAGTTTTGGACTTTTTAAATATTTGGACGATGGCCGTCCTGAATTAGCCACTATAACAACTTCCCTCTGCTCCGTAAAGCTTGGACCCCAAGCTTAAATAAATTGAGTCCAAACTGATAGGAGTGAAGCTATATAAATACCAACAGTTCAGATTAGTAAATAATCACAAAGGAACAATTCTTAAAGTCATTAAAATCTCGTGCAACAGATATGCCTATGCCATGACAGTATAGGAGTGATCATCTCGCCAGTCTGATGTGTTGTAATATACATTTCACATGCAGGTATTTACTGCATTGGACAGATTCAATAAACATTTCATTGAAAAGATCTTTGAAATCAGGGGTGAGATAAGTCTGGGGTGAAGTAGAGCGGCCGTCTCTATCTCCTAGCACTATTAATAACACCTACATGTCGAGGTTGAGACCTATCTTATCCCATTGCTAAATTACAGTTGTTAGTGAGAAGCTAGATTTTTAGTAATAAGCTAGAATTGAGAGTTTTAGAGGCTCAGTACCAAATAATGACAATACATGTAATTACATCATAAAAAGTACACATAAACATCTCAGCAACTATTTCGCATTAAGAAATTTGAAACCAGGAGTCTAACTTTACCGCGCGACTCAGACGGTACTTGTGGGTACTGTTGCCCGTTTAAGTACGATGGGTGCTCTTCCCGTGTCTGTGACGGAGCTTGCCCATATAGTGTGGGTGCTATGCCCAATAAAAAATAATAATCCTACAATGGGTGCTATTCCTGTTTCGTTGGCAGAGCTTGCCCATATATTGTGGGTGCTATGCCCAATGACAACAAAAATAACAATAATCCTACTCTGACTTCAAAACTCTAAAATGCTGAAAATTGCTTTGCTGTTAATGTCTTCTTAATACTGACACATAATATACATGTGCGTCTGTGGGTGGTTGGGCCCAAGAATATCCCTATTCTCACTTCATTTTACAGAAGTAATTTGGTGCACATTGTTTACATGCACTTAATACATTATGGTATAGACATAAGAAGGTAATAATGTACTGGCCTGTGATTTAACATACCTGGTTGCACTTATCAACAATAACAAATTGTATATCCTGAACTGAGTCCATTTACAAACACACAGATAAGTAAGTCCTGATGAGTTCTGTTGTAAACAATGTCCATCTTGAAGATGTCCTTGAGGTATCTTCTGTATGAATACAGGATCTCTATGTTGATGGCTGTGATCAGATCTCTGTGGGAGAGACACATGTACTTGCTTGGACTTTGGTTCCTTGGTGTTTCATCCTTAACTTGTAGGTTGTCCATCAGGTGGTTGCTGTATGATGCTCCATTCAAGATGGCGGCGTTGAGGATCCATGTTGATCAAGACTCTTGAAATCTCTTCAAGTAGACGTAGAACTTGGGGAATCATCCTTGATACATCATGTTAATGGAAGGCACATAGAGAGGTTTCTAAGATCGGGAGTAAGCTAAAAAGTTACTCTACCCGGATTCTCCACCAAATTGTCAACGCGTGGTTTACAGGTCAACTGGGGAATTAGCTCATAATTAAGATGAAGAGTGCGTTGATGAAGACGAAGGCATAGTTGAGTTCAAACTTCTTTAGTTACATGACAACCAAATACACAAGACATACATAAACAGCGGAGTACCTGCTCAACCACAGGGCGTTTCCTACGAGCGGCATTATCCTGCTCGTGGTCGTCCGAACGGACAGTCCAACTACCGAACTCGTACTCCTTCACTCTCCTCATTCACTGTCTACATGTGAGCATACCTAGTATATATATATATATATATACAGTTTTTGATAACAATGGTCAGGCGACGACTCATCAATGGACAGACAGAAAAACAATAGTACTTCCTTGACCAGTTGATGTGATGGCAGACACGGCCAAGGGGGATTACCAGTGGAGGCAGACTAAGGCTTAGTCTCTGAATATATATAATTTGGATAGTAACAAACAAGCCCATTTATATTGAAAAGGAGCCCTAGGGAGACCAGAGATTCAGAGACTAAGAACATCTGCATTGGGGCTACACGTGCTGGGGTCATTACCAATTAGAAGTCACATCATACAAACATCAGATAACGCTATAAGTGAAAGGCATATTTATTGGCCCTCCTGTTAAGCCCTGTCCTATCTCCATGCTGTCATCACCTCATGTGGGCCGGTCAAGTGCCCCTACTGCCTAACATTTTACTGTTGGGAAACTTGCAGCCCACAATGTCACTTGGACACTAGATGACCAAGGTGCAAGATCTGTGTGGAACACCAACAAAATTATTTATGAATTTGAACTTATCTCCAAATTCAAAAGTTTCCATTTGTATAATATGCGAAAAGGATATAGATAACCACCTTTTTTTAAACAAACTGTTCAATGGAAGTGAAAAGGCCAGTGTCTGTCTTACGCTTGAAGATGTTCTGGGTATTTCTAGATACTAGATCATCCTCACTAGATTTCACCTTGCATGCGTCACATCACGAAGGTAAACAGATTTAATTCCGAGATGCTGTGCCTTTTGAATTTGGTTCTTCACAAGAAGGCGACTAACAGGGTCGGGTGGTCAAACTTGCTGACTTGGTTGACACATGTCATTGTATCCCAATTGCGTAGATGCTCGTGCTGTTGACCACTGGATTGTCTGGTCCAGATTCGACTTATTTACAGACCGCCGCCATATATTGAATATTACTGAATGCGGTGTAAACCCAAACTCACTCACTCACTCACTCTTCATGAGTGCTAGGTCCCTGCCATATGTTTTACTGTTGAGCAATTAGATAAAAAGAGATACTCAAAACACACCAGAGTTTCACACAATAATCTTATATCAGGAATAAGAAAAATAACCCTTGTTTTAATTACAATTAAATCCTTAACCGCATTTACAATTGGGCTGCTATGTGTGGACCCAAGTCAGACAATGAAACAATACTTTTTACAACATAACATTCAGGAGGAACCTTTCCCCAAGATTTTGCTTGATTTGTCTCTTAAGACCAGAAACTGTGCACAAGGCCTCCACTATAGCTTACCTGAGGAAATCTAGACTTGCTTTATTTAGGGCTTTAGCACTGCAGAGAGGGCTTCGCAGTAGGGAAAATAATGTTGTTCAGGGACTGTGAGACAGACTACAATGGAGGTTATAAATGTCTTATACAACAATTAATGGGCTGACAAGTCAATTTACAATGCGGTAGTGATAAGGATGTACAGTAGTGATTAAAAATACAGCTTAGCGTCATATATATATTACAATAAGGTCTCACATGTCTTGAGTACATAGTTTTGGACTTTTTAAATATTTGGACGATGGCTGTCCTGAATTAGCCACTATAACAGTACTGAGGGCAAGTCCTGGATATCTTTGCAGTATTACCAGTACGGATGTTTCCCGTGTCAAGACCCTGATTACGTAAACTCGAAACAATAACGATCCTAAACTTTCACAGGTCCGCCTCCGTGGTGTAGTGGTTAGAGCGTCCGCCCGGAGTGCGGAAGGTCGCGGGTTCGATCCCCGACCGCGTCATACCAAAAGACGTTAAAATATGGTACTTGTTGGTCCCTGCCTGGCGCTCGGCATTAATTGGTACAACAAGGACTGGTCGGCTCGGAGTCAGTATAATGTGTCTGAGTGGGGTATTCATGCTTCACTGCGGCATGGTATCTCAGTGGGCTAGCACTGTAAAACCAGCTTTAAGTCTGGGTTAGTACAAGCAGCCTCACATACACATACACACGCGTGCACGTCGTCATATGAGCGAAATATTCTCAAGCACGACGTTAAACCCAATTCCACCACCACCACCACAGGTCAAAAGTATGTTCAGACCAAAAGGTGTAAAATTATGGCACAAGGAGTGTTTAGGTTCGTGGTTTTGGATCTAAATACATATTTACAATACTCAAGAGAAAACCTACACATATTTGCTGAAA